CCTAAAGAAAGCTGACAGTCAAATCTACTGTTTTAACTTCAGTGAGTGGAATCCTTAATTCACAGGAAATAATGGCCGACTTCAACTCAAAGGAAAATGGAAAACCACTGTAGAATAGATAGATTTGTCACTATTAAGATTATTCCTATGACCAAGATCAAACCTTAGTCGTCCCATTACAGTTCTGTGACACTTCACCAGTAAAGTATAGAGTACTTTTTTCAAATACTTACGTGTAATAATGCCAGAGCTCTTTATATGTAGTCACGAGGTAAAACCTCTGTCCATTTTGTGTGTTCTTTTCCAAGGCAAATACATGAACATCCTTTTAAAACATAAACAGAATTATTTATTTATTAAAAAAAAAATAATCAGAAGGCATCAGAAGTTCCTATTCAACATTCATTTTTTGGTCAAAAGGTAGTGAACACAAGGAAATTCTAAGTATAGATCACTTATCCTTTTTCAACAGAAGTAGCATCTGTTTTTAATTAACGTCATCCTAATTTTATTTACATGAGTGAAAACAAGAAGCTTTTCTTTGCTGTGCATCAATATAAATTCTGTAGGTCCTTTTTTCCTGATCAAGGAAGTGCAACTGCCTGTAATTGGAGGAAGGCCAGTGTCCTGACAGGACATCACTGACATGATGGCAGCATATGGCTTTAGACCCTATGTCATTTAGATCCACAAAAATGGAAATCTGAAACCAAAACCAAAACATCACCACAGCTGATACAGTCAAAGTACATTCAGGAAAGTGAGACAATCAGGATTACTTGAACACGTAATGCAGTGGAGGAAAATGATATGTTGCATTATCTTTCTTTAGAAGCAGCAATTTGAAAAGTATTAAATGCAGAGAACTGGAAAAGATACATTTTGCGTAATATATTTATTTGGATCATTACTTCACAGCATCTGATCTTGTTGCCCTGATGGTAGAAGAGAGTTGTAATGTTTGTCTTTTTGTCTCTGACTCTTGTCGTTCCCTTTTTCTTCCTCAGTTTTGCTTCTTTTCCTACGCAACTCTCACTTCCTTCCCATTCTTCTGCCAAACCTGAAAGCTTCCTTCTCTTCAGAGAGAAGATATGATCACTACAAGATTACCAAAAGCTATTGTTCCTATTAGAGGTTAAATCCAGGTATCAATTCTTATGTTCCAAGTAGTACTTCTTAGAGCTATCTCCAAAAAAATTAAAATAACAATATATCAGGTCTGCAAAAAAGGGGATCTTGCAATGTGATGAAGATTTTGTTGTTCACCAAGTTTTTCAGTCAAGTTCAACCTGGGAAGCACCAAAGAGCAGAGATATTCACTAACGATTTACCTCCTTGCAGGTTTTCACAAATCTGAAAGCTTCAGCCTGCCGACAAAATATTTTCCAAACACGGGATGGCTGAAAAGGTTTGGACAGCCTTGGTTTATAAACTGTAGGAATAGGGTTTCTTTCATAGTAAGACGCTAGTTCTTCAACTTTCTTCACTCTTTCTTCCCATTTTCTCTTCATTTGTCCTAAAGCAACTACAAACAGATCATTATCAATTTTTGTGATTCACTTCTAACTTCTTTGGTACTCATCATTGCTTTTGATTCTTTCTCTTGTTGAGCATACTTTATTTAATGACTAGAAATAGACAATGCTCTGAATCAACACCTAACCTTGCCTATGAGTCTGCTTTCAACATTAAATACTTTCAGACAGTTTTGGAAAATGATTTATTTTCCTATTAATATCATCAAAGATCAACACAACAGATGTAGTAAGGGAAAGCCTAGGAAGCTTCACTTTTGCTTACAGAATGGTGTTAATATGTTCCTCCTGAAAATATATACAGAGCGGTTTAAAGCAGCTAAAACAACACTAGTAAGGAGTGAAAAAAACTACTACTGCTTCACACTCAGATAAATAAATTATAAAACTCATTTTTGTGGGAAAAACATCACTTTGGTTTCTGATAAAGAGATTTGAGTGACTCTAGCTCTAAGCTTCTTTATTCTCAAAGTAAAAAAATTTGAAATATTTTTCAAATTAAGTGCTCCATTACTTGCTGCCATCCCTTGCTATCAATTACTATTTTCATCTGCTTTACAATCTCACACTCTATATCCTTTCTTACAGATTTAAAATAGCAATCCTATCTGTTGTCAAGAAACAGCATGTGATGCCATAATCACGCAACCTTTAAACTCATAGTCATATAAAGTAATCCAAATGCTACTAAGTGAAGTAGTAAAGCAAAATAAGTACATTAACATAACACATGTGTAATTATTTTTAAATTGTATTAGCTATTTTTCTTAAAAATCCAATGCCCCTCAGCAGTCCTGCAAATAGGTAAGAGCATAGCGAGGAAAATGTGAAACTGCAGTATATGGGAACTGTTTGGTCATGGCCTGAACCAGTGACTGAGCAGCTGGTGAGGGGGTGTAGCCAGCCCAGGGAGCACAGCTGGAAGCAATTCACTTGTGTGACTGGCAGGGGGCAGACCCTGGCTCCACCCCTCCCTAACTTCATTTAAGGGCTGGCAGCCACAAGGGAAGCATCTCTACTTGGAGGTCATCTCCTTTGGAGTGTTTGGTGAGCCCTGGTCCTCGGAAAGGGGGTAAGTGATTCCTTCTTTATTCTTGAAGTCTAACTGCTACCTTTTTTGGGTTTAAAGCAACAGTATCTGCTGCTACTTTACAAGCAGGAAGTAGTAAAATAGAAAAAGAAAGCCCACAAAAAAATCCTGGAAGTATATTTTCTGTTCTTCCTGGCTCAACCACTATCCAGTCCTTAGATCTCATAACTACATGCCAGCTGCAATAGAAGATAAAAAATGAAACTAGGTATACTTAGAAGCATTCAAACCTTTAACAAGATGCATCCCCCAGTGTGAGTTTACACATCTAAATATCCTCGTGGGCCTCAAAGCCCAAATGTTAGGTCTTCTGAATCCCCTTTCCAAGCTTTCCATAGTAAAGTTTCCTCGTTACCTGTGTTTTGATAGCTTAGTCCACTCTAAATAAGAGTACTAATTTCATGTTTGACCTCATACATGTCTACAGATGCTATCACTCTGCAGTCATACTGATTTCCTCTACTCCTTTCCTTTTAAGGCTATTAGTTTCTTCTTTGGAAACAAAAAGAGAAATTCTAACAGCAGTCAGCATTTCTGAGAAGTAAATCTTTGGTTTTGCTTTGCTGATAGCCCTGCTGTAAATGTAAGCAAAGTGGGTGTCAAAGCACAACAGACATTCCCCCGGATCAGAAACTTCCCATTTGGTGACCATTCAAAAGAAGAGGGGAAAAAGCTCAATCCCCTTAATTTTGTGCTCCTTTTCAGCTTCCTGTTTAGATTAATGCTCCCTGCCAGAAACAGCTGCTGGGTGATATCTGAACCTGGGCAGAGGTTGATGGCTCTGACATCTATTGCTGTTACTTCAGTCCAAACAACTCTTAGCTTCTCAGCAGTCCAACATGTCACGTTTTTCCCAGCATGTACACTTATACCTACAGACCAGCCAGACTTCTGGGTTTATCAGGAAATTCCTGGTTTCTTTTGGTCACTTCTGTCCCAGAAGTAGGAGGGAGGATTATTTTTAATTCAAGAAAGAAATCATCTTAGCAATGTGTGTGATGGTCTTGATTCAGCAGAATGATAGCAAGAAGCTGCTGAGAAAATGTATCTGTTGGGAGATGACTTAATGGATGTGCTATTTCATTTTCCTCCTTTGATGAAAGACTGCTTCGTTAATTGATGAGAACATTAGAGTTGTTAACTGTTTATACCTTAGCCTTGTGGTGGTGTGTTTAAACAAGTGAACTTGCCATTTCAGATATGGTAATTTTGTCCTTGCGACAGAGGAAGGATATGCATAATTTTGTCATGTGTACCCACTGTTTTTGTTAAGTAAAACTCATACTCAAAAGCTATTATGCTTATGGACAAAACACCCTCCACACCTGCTGGGAAATGAAGTTCAGACATGCAAATCAGCCACTGTTTAAAATAATGCCTTTTGTTTACATTGGCTTCCTGGCCTACATGACTCAAGGCATGTAGCTCTGTGTAGCTCTGTAGCTCCTATCACTCACCACCAAGAAGTTCATTCAGTCTTAGAGGAATCTACTCGATAGCTTTCTCCCTAGTGATAAATTTCTTAATGTGTGAAGAACAGCTTGATTGTCTTGATGCTGAGCTGACCTGTGGCACGCTAATGAATGCAGCTCATCTTTCCTCAGCAGTAACAAGGAACATCACATGGAATCATAAAATGGCTTGAGTTAAAAGAGACCTCAAGGATGATCCAGTTCCGAACCCTGTGCCACAGACAGGCTTGCTAACTGCTAGACTGAGTGCTAGACCAGGCTGCGCTGGGCCCCATCCAACCCGGCCTCGAACACCTCCAGGGATGGGGCATTCCAGAGAAACGCAATTCCTTCCAGCAGACAGAAGCGAAGCAGAGCGCGAGGCCGCTCGGCGCAGGTCGGCACACGGCCGGCACGTACTTACAGCGCAGAGCCCAAACTTCGCCCGCAGCACGCCCGAGCCGGCGGCTCAGGCCCACCTCAGGTCCCGGCGGGGCATGCCGCACGGCTGCCTGCTACTCGCTCGCACCGAGCATTACCGCAGCGTTACCGCTCTGAAGCACGGGGACTCGGGCCGGCCGCCTCCCGCCTCTCCGCGTCCCGCGCGCTGCCGCCGCCGGCGTTCGAACGGCGGCCGTTGGGAGGCGGGGCAGGGATCGCGGGGCGGGGCTGCCTGCTGCCGGCCCTCCGGCCCCTCGGTGACGGCGCGGCGGAGCGGGCAGCGCTGGAGGAGGTGAGGAGGCGCGGCGGAATAGAGCCGGCTGACCGGAGGGTGTGGCGGGAGCTGCGCGACGCGGCCCCGCGGCGGTGGTGCGGGTTGAGGCGGGCAGGGGCGCGGCGGGGCGGGCTGCTCTTTGTTTCCCACCAGCGTTCCGCCATGGCGGCCCTGCGGCCGCAGGGAGCGCGGCTGCTGTAGCGTTGCCGCGTGTATATGCGGGCATTAAATACCAGCTTTCGGTCTTTAGCAGTCACATAACTGTGCGTTTGCAGTGACGCGCGGCGAAGTGTGCCCTTTTGTCGCCGGTAGGACGGTTGTACGATTGCGGTTTCTGTTTCGGACACGCGCTTTGGTTGTGACACAGGATGCTTTGTAGCAGCTGGCGGGCAGGAGCTGAGCTGGCTGCCCGGCTGTGAAGGCAGCTGGAGGCGGGTCAGATAGCGGCTTTCCTTCCTCTCTCGGAAGCTTGGCTATTCTCATTGCTGAATGGCTTGTGCGGTTCGACGTTCAAGCAGTGCCTTGAAGAGAAGAGAATCGTAGAATCGCTTAAGGGACCCCTAAAGGCCACCTGGTCCCACTCCCTGCACTGAACAGGGATGCCTACAGTTCCATCAGGTGCTCGCAGCCCCCCTGCCTGACCTCGGCTGTCTCCAGGGATGGGGCATCCACTGCCTCTCTGGCCAAATTTGGTGCTGTTTATGTGGCAGCAGTGATATATACGAAGATCTGAGGACAGTAAGTCAATCCAGGCTGGCACAAACTAAATACATAAATTTTATCATCTCCCTCTCGCAACAAAAGCATTGGAACAACTGCATTTAGAGCAAAATATGCTTTCGGTTTTGTTGCTGTCCAGGAGATGCTGGTTGTTTCCTCATAGCTTGCTGAGCTCTGTGCTTCTTTCAAGCACTGCTCTTGCCACATCGTACTGCTTGAAATCACTGTAGGATTACCTTTACACCCTGTACCTCCATCTCACAGTTTGTTTGCTTAGTTTGTGTGGCTTGAAACAAAGATATTGTAAAACAGGTTGTAAAAATAGGCTTCCTGAAATCTGCAGAACATACTCTACAAGATTTTTTTAAAAGGCAGTTGCTTGCTGCTTGCTTTTTTATATTTGCTTGTGACTGAAAGCTCTTTTTACCCAAGCTTTCAGGAGTATCAAGGGGCAGAAGAAGTTCTCTATTAATTTTTTTTGAAGTGTTGTCCTGATTTCTTTCCCTGTCCCTTTTAGCATGAGATCATTCTCCACAGGGAAATGTGAGTTCTGCTTGACAGCGTATGACATCATTGCATTACCTCGACTAGGATGAGGTAATTCCTAGTCCGTTTGAATCAGCATCATCCTGCAGGGAGCATTGCTGTCACCCTGATGGGTGCTTTAGAGCAGAAAGCATGGATTTGCATGCCTAGTAAGGAAACAGGTCTCTCTTTGTGGATGTCTCTTGCTTTTTAGAGAAGTGCAAGTGACTTGGTGCACTAAGGCATTCAGAAACTCACAAATGTTAAAGGTGAGTTACAGATTCTGCAGATGAAGTGTATGTATTTTAAATGGCTAATGTAGAATACCAGGCTTTTCTGCATAATGTCTCCAGCTTCTTTGAAGATACTTTGACAAGCTCCACTTGAGCTGCAGCTGAATGCAGTAGATTTTAATGCTTGATTAAACAATTGAAACTGTCCGTTAGAACGTAAGCTTGCATGTGTTACAGTAAGACATACTTTTGTAGTATGGTACTGCAAATTGCGTTGTGGAGCAAATAACTGTAATTCATTATAATCCAATTTGACATTGGATCAACAACAGCAGTTGTTAATCAGGGTTACAAAAAAGTCAAGAAGATGCCTTAACTTAAGGTTACTTAGTTGTTGAATATCCTTTTTTATTCTTACCATTTGTGGCAAGTGTTGATATCTGTGGTAGCGAAGCATTCAGTTGTTGCAGACTGTGCAAGTCTTAAAGTTGTCTGTTGAAGTCTGCAGCCATTTGCCGGGGTTATTCCTGTTGCTGCTTACTGAAACCAGTCCCTAATGGGATGCAGGGGTTTGTTTGGAGCAGTCTGAAGTGAATCCAGAGCAGCCTGGTAATCCACTTGCCCTCTGTAACAATCCCAAATTCACCCTGTAAGCCTGGGGTGTAAGGAGTCAATAGCTGTCCCCATACTTTGGCTGAGTCTTTCTGAAAGTAGTCCTTGGTAGCCCAGATTAGCTCATGTTATGGACAAAGTGTGACCACATCTCAGCTGGTCATATATTTGCTAGTTTACACTACCTGGGCCCAGCCCTTAAGTGCTGGTACTGCAGACCTTCACAGTGCTGGAGAATTGCAGAAATACCTGGGCTGGAGCAGGGGGACATTGGGCATTCTTCTCAATGGCAGCTGTTTTCGCCAGTTCCCAGTAGCCACAAACTCTACAGTTCACTGCAACTGAAAAGCAGAGAGTTCTGTACTTGTGTTACCCTTTGGAAGTGTGTGTCTTTTTTTCACATAGGGAACTTCTAAGAAATTAAACTTTGTAGTTAGGCAGAGTGAATCCAGATCATGGTGTTTGGCTGGTAACTTCAGAATTATCAACCGAGTTCCCACCTCATGATATTTGAAGTACATTTCTAAAATATAAACTGATAATGCATTTTATAAGCTTTATTTCTGGAATAACAGCTTTTTTGCTGCTTCTGTAATTTGGTTTTCAGGAGATCTACGTATTATGATATAGTTCTCAAGTCTGGAATCATCTTATGAACCATATTTCCTGATTACGTCAGTGCTTCAAGATACAGAGAAACAGTATTCAGAATAACCTTGAGAATCTTTTGGAGATACTAAAATAGTAAGTAAATGTCTCATAGGAAACAAGGAAAGAGAAAAGCTCATACATACCCAGAATAGTGCTTCTCATGTATTGGTAGTTGCTGCCACAGAAAATATGTGGTCCCAAGGATATTCACGGGGTATTATTTGGAATATAAGAAAGAAGATAGCAGACAATAAAATGATTGTACAAGATGGCAAATTTAGCTGTGAGCCTCACATTAAGAACCTTTGCCCTAATTTCAACATATACTTAATAGTATTTCTAATTGGCCTGGTTACTTATAGATCCCAGTTCACCAGAGGTCGCTCAGCAAGTTCTTTTAAAATTCTTGCCTTCTCATGCCTTGCCTTTTTCTTGAGGTCTAAGCATTTATCCACTTCGGAGTCATTATTACTTTGTCCCATGCAGTGATTTAACTTAGTCCTTTTCTGAATCCCAAGTTAAAGATAACTTGTGGTGATGGCATTAAACTAAGAGGGTAGACTTACATCAGGCAATGGAAAGAAGTTGGTTTGGTTTGGTTTTGTTTTCATTTAGGGGGTGGTGAGGTGCTGGCACTGCTGCCCAGAGCTGTGGGTGCACCATCTGTGGAGGTGCCCAAGGTTGGATGGGCCCTGGGCAGCCTGAGCTGGCGAGGAGCACTCAGCCCCCAGCAGGGATTGAGGTTGGGGGGGCTTTAAGGGTCCTTCCAAATCAAACCATCAACTGGAAGGAAGAATCATTGCTTTTAAATTGATTTCTGCCTTGGTATCATTCAACACTTTTTTCCCTATGCACTGAATTAAGTAGCAGTCCACAGTGCAGAACTCATTCCATCAACTATTTAAAGTTGTGTTGTTGCACTTTTTACGTAATTTAAGTTGCAGTTGGTTTCACTTACACTGATGAGAATTAAATTTGGATTTCTCCATTGTCGTGACAAGGAATGATCCAAATGTGGCACAATATCCATAGTGTTAAAATGTCAGTAAAGCATTTAGGGATATTTTTAATATTTTGGAGATTACTTTAAATTTCTTTGTCTGTCCTGCTTTTCATGAGATCTACCCTTTTTCTTCCAAAGTTGTTCTGGAATGCGATAATTCAGAAAAGTATTTACTGTTCTTCTTTACAGTACAAGATATGTAGAGGTTACTGAGAAATGCTTATAGTTGCCTACTATTACTAATATCCTTAGGCTGAAGTCATTCTTTGTGACTATTGCCTTTGAACTTCCTTGTTTTCTCCATAATCTTAAAAAACAAAAACAAACAAAATAACTCTCTGTGCAGAGGTTTAAGAAAAACTAACAAAATGATGAGTTAATGGTTGGACTGGATTATCTTAGTGGTGTTTTCCAACCTGTATGGTTCTGTGGAAGGTCTTCTTGAAGGTATTACGCTGCATGAGAATTGTCACATGTTTCTGTTTGCTTGTGTTTTCAAGCTGGTAATCAAGAGCCATAATGACTGACATAAAAGATGGACCACACTTAGGGGAAGATCTGTCAGATGCAAAATCTTTTCCTGGTTCCAAAGGGTAAGTGAGATACTTTGGGCTTAAGTTCTCAATGTAAATGTTGAGGAATCTTGTGCTGTAACTGAAGACGAGAGCTGTAGAAAAGATGCTATTAAAAATTAAGTTTTCAAATATGGTAAATTATGCTAATCATAAAAAAAAAAACCAACATTAAAGTTGTGCTGGGTTTGAAAGTATACCATCTCTGACAAAACAGGCTATATGTACGAACAAGGAAATAAAAAGCAGGATACTTAAGGTGCAGTTAGATATGGGTTAGCAGTTACCAAGTCATTAACTGTTCTTGAAAAGAAATTTCTCTGTCTTAACCCTGGCCAAATGTTCACACCTTTCCTTGAACTGCTTCTAGATCTTGCTGGAACTTGCAGCAGCCAGTTCAGTCTCTTAAACTGCCCTTCTGTAGACCTACTTGTGCAGAAGGACTGGCACAAGGGGGATTTACAGCAGTGGGAAGGAAGATGAGCAGTCTTATTTTTCTTGGTGACATTGTGGTTATGTTGGTGTAGTGCTATGATCAGATTACATCTTCTCTGGGAAGATAATTTCCTTCTGAAGTCATTCATTCTAGTGCTTCAAGAAAGAGTCAATTTAGCACCATTACTCACTTTTTATTTGTAAAACTCAATGTGTTTTCAATTCAAAACAATGTGTTCTCACTTAAGAGAGTTTGTTCTTGATGCTTTGAGTTTTCAGCTTGCTACAAATTGCACAGAAGATTACAACAAATACAAATTGCTTTTATTTACCTGTTTATTTGTGTATGCATAGATTTAATGGAACTTGAATCAATCATATTATTTGGGTGCACAACCATACAAAGCAGTTTCATGGGTTACTCCAACCTCTGGGCAAATGCGTTTTTCAATAGTCTCACATTGGATCTGTCCACTGATTTTTACAGGCATCACTTCCATGAATCAAGTAGCAAACCTTACCACTTTCACTCGTTTTCTTAAATAGCCATTTGCTTATTTAGATACTAAGAAATCAGAGAAGAGAGAACAGAAATTAATACTTGAAGCTTGTCTGATTTGTGTACAGAATGAACTTACCTGCTAGCAAGTCTGTGGACTCTGGAATTCTGCCCGATGACAGTTACAGAATGGATTATCCAGAGATGGGAGTATGTGTTATAATAAACAACAAGAACTTCCACCGAGATACTGGTACTGCTTTCAATTATTACTTTTTTTTTCTGTATTTCAGATAAATTTGATGTGTTATTCTTCAGAATTAAATATGCAGTCCAGTTTTGACTGTATTGAAAAATTAAGTGGTTTGAGTGGATTGGATTCATTTCAGGGTATTCTTCTAAATATGCACAGGGGGAGTAGTGGTGAGGAAAAGCTGATTGGCTGTGTGCAAATCTGCCATGCCTTTTAGTCATGACTTCTGTAACATAAATAAGGTAATTGTCTCAATATAGACGGGTAGGTGTAAGTAATAGATAAATACATGAAATAGGTACAGGGAGATGGAGTGTGCATGAATAGTATGATGTTTTTTTCTCAGAGTGGATCTGAAGTAATGGAATAATATTCTAGACTGATGCAGATATAAGAAAGAAAATAATTTGGCTCAGAGTGTGCCATTTATATCATATCAAAATAATACCTGTCTTTTATGTCTAGGACTGTCATCTCGTTCAGGCACAGATGCAGATGCTGCAAGTGTCAGAGAAGTTTTCATGAAGCTGGGATATAAAGTCAAGCTTAACAATGATCTGTCAAGCAGAGATATTTTTAAGCTATTGAAAAATGGTAAGTTCAGGTATGATCAGAATGTGTGCTAAGTCTACTGATTCTAAATCACTTCTAGTACTTAAATCTCTTCTTCCGTGGTTCTTTTACAAAGTACTTCACAACTCCTTATTGCTAAAGAGAACATATATGTTGTAGTTCCTATGTTAATTCATCATTGCTGTCTCTCCCTCTTTTGTGCCATGACCGTTGTCTCAGAATCCTTTCTTATCTTCTAAAGAGGGCTGGAAAAACAGGCTGAAATTTAAATGCAGGAAGATTTATTTTCTGACCTTTGAATCACAGAAACTGTGAGCTGGAAAGAAACCTGCTTAATTGGGTAGAAGGGTAGTGTGGGCAGTGTGGTCCAAGAGGTGCCCTTATCAGGGGATCAGAACTACTGTAGTTCTGTATGTGGACTGAATTACTCTTTTAGAGAAATAACTCGCGTTTTGTTTGGCTTGTGATGCAAAGCAGCTCTCTTACAAGTGAAACCCTTTATACCACTGTTTGTGCTGATCTTGTTTTGTTTGGACTTAATACATCTAGACTAGTAAATTAAATGGTGCCTTGAAGTGTTTTTTTGCCCTGAAATAGTCTACTCTGGTAAACTGTCAGAAGGTTCTCTGGTACAACTGTGGCACACTCTCAGACTGTTTCAGGTCACAGTTCAGCAGTGAAAGTGTTCCAGAGAGTATTCCCAACAGTAAATCAGTCTGCAGCAATCCTGTTTTTTCGATGTATATGTTTGCTAGCGTGGATTTGGCTATTTAGTGCCAGTTAATGTTTGTACCAGAGAAGACTCTTAGACAACGTGAACTTGCAGCTTGTCTGTTGACAGTAGCTAAAAGTGGAAGGTCACATTCTCTGATTCCAGGCTTCTGTCTTTCCTGTGGTATACATAGGGCCTGCACATGGATGGTGTAAACTCTGGCCTAACTAGAGATTCCCCAAAACTAGCTTTTCTTGACTCTTTTAGACACAGTGCTTGTCCATAGATTATAGAAGTGCCTGAGCATGCATTGCTTGAGAAAAATAAAAATAGTTCAGTTTTTCCAGAATAGAAATCCAGTATTCAGCAAGCTGTAAAACAGAAGTTTACAGCTTCTGTCTATGAACTCTTGCATTTTCTTGAAACTTCCATTCGAAACTCCTTTTGGATCCCTTCTTTTAAACCTTGTTTGTATCTTTTTGTACACTTAAAAGAATCATTTTGGTCATCAAGAACAATCCCCATGGTTTCAGGCAACAAAAAACATAGTAGAATATATTTTCTATATCTTTACATACCACAGGATGAAAAGCTTTATGTCTTGCTTAAAGGTCTTTAAGTACAAAACTCAGAAGCCTGAAAAATCTTGCTAGACCTTGCTTCTAGAAGGCAAGAGCAAAGGGAAAGGTGTAACATTAGTAGCTAGGTCCATCTAGCAGCAACAGTTTTCATATTGCAGTTGCCATGTAATCCAGTGTTGAAATGTAAGGAGAAACAAGACTTCCCTGTCCTTTCCCAAAACTCAGAACTTCCCATCAGCCTGATCCTATTGACCATTATAAGTGAGGTGCATCATTTGGAATCTGAGATAGTGTGCTGAATCACTGCTCCCAACTCGCTTTGTCCATTCACAATGTTCATAGCCATTTTTTCCACGTGGCCACATTCTACAAGGCATAGGATTGGCCCTAAGTTTAGGGTTTTCTATGTCCGACCTTATGAAGTGAAGTACACTGGCTCCTTTCATTAGGAGTGAAGTGTTTGAGGTTTCTAGGTCTGCAAACAGTTGTTCTTAATGAGTTCTATTGCACAAAGTTCAAAGCTTCTTGGGGAGTGCAGTAAGTTGATTCTCCTTTTCTTTCAAGTTTCTGAAGAAGATCACAGCAAACGAAGCAGTTTTGTTTGTGTGTTGCTAAGCCATGGCGACGAAGGACTCTTCTATGGTACAGATGGCCCTCTTGAACTGAAGGTACTAACGAGCCTTTTCAGGGGTGACAAGTGCAGAAGTCTAGCAGGGAAACCCAAACTCTTTTTCATTCAGGTGAGCTACAACTGAACAGTGATCATCAGTTCATAAGAATACTTCAAAAAATTGTTTCCCACAAGTTATAAGTACGAAGTAGTTATTCCTAAAATAGCCTTATAGGGATTTACTTCTAGAATAAGATTCCCTAATATTGGAATAGTCTGCCCTCTTAGTATTTGTAATAGCTGAAATCACCTTAATTTGAATGAGTTAAGGTGATGCAAAGTTTTTCTGAATGCTAGCCAATATCTCAGTGAGCTTCTGAATGTACTTTCATATGAATATCCATTCTAACCAAACAGTAATTAATATAAATAAATGCTAGTTATTTTTCTTATGAGTCTTACTATCCTAATCATCTTCAAAGCTGAAAATATTACAATATTCTTACCATTATGATCATTGCCTTTTTCTCATTTATTTTTGTTGTCCATTTTTCTTTCCAACAAGTAGGCCTGTAGAGGGACAGAATTAGATTCTGGTATTGAAGCAGACAGTGGACCAGATGAAACAGTGTGTCAAAAAATACCTGTAGAAGCAGACTTCCTGTATGCATATTCTACTGCTCCAGGTGAGAAACTTGCAAAGAAAATCTTTGTTGCTGAAATTGTATCTATGTATCTGCTTGTACTGATACAGGCAGTTTGCAGTGTTCTCCACTCAGTGACTGATTAATCTGAAGCTTCTGATTTTCTTTGAAGCACTTGCTGTTCTCAATTCCCAGAAAAAAGCTCATTATAGGTCTTTTTCAAATGTTAATCTGCTGCAGGTTGATTTACTCTGAGTTGTGCAAATAATTTGCAACAGGAGAAAATACATTAATTCTGAAAGAATAGAGCAATTGAACATCTCTATGTATTTGTATGTGTGTGTATATTTATGCATACAGAAATGGTGATAAACATCTAAGTATTACTTGGTTGTCAGTTCTATTTCATTGCAGCCTAAGTGAATTAGTGGTGACAGGACCCTTAATATGCCCATTACATTATCACTTTTCAGAAGCAAGGTCTAGGCAGTCTTCAATTCATGCTTTTGGACTTGAAGATAGTGATAGTGAAATCTGTTTTGTATTTCAGCTCTCATTGTGCTATCGCTGCTCCTGCATACATGTATTCTGTAATGAAGTAATAAATAATTAATGTGTAAGAGCAGAAGATAATTGTATAATCAGTGAATATGCAGATGTTATAATTAAGAAATATACAAGAGAGTTTGGCTAATTACACACACACACACAAAAGCTTACCCTTGTCCTGGGCTCACTGGAAAACTCCAAAGGAAGGATCTCCAGAAAGAAATCCTTCCCAACTGGTAGTCAGCTCTTAGATGGGTCTAGGAGGGGTGCAGCCATGCTCCACCCCTTCTGGCAGGTGGAATTCACCTGTGCTCCCGTGGCTGACTCACTGCTCACCTCAGGAGATCAATCAGAGGTTCAGGCTGTGATTCAGCAGTTCCTGTGCAATAATTCTCCTGTCTCTTGATTTTTTTTTTGTTGTTTTTTTTTGTTTTTTTTTGTTTTTAATTTTTATTTTTTTCTACCTATTTAAAATTTTCTCACATTAGAAAAAAATGGATGGCTAGAAAAATCCTTTAGGTTGAAATTTGAAGGGACTATCAAATCTTAACTGTGTTGCTTGGGGGTTTTATTTGTTTATTTTAAGACTGTCTCTGCTGTTGGGTATGTTGTGTCATTCTGTAACTGCTATCCTATCCTGCTGCTACATCTGATCAGCTTGATCTCTTTGTCTTCTGCAGGCTATTACTCTTGGAGGAACGCAGCTGAAGGCTCCTGGTTTATTCAGTCTCTGTGTAGAATGCTGAGGGAGCATGCCAGGAAACTTGAACTCATGCAGATTTTAACTCGTGTAAATCGCAGAGTGGCAGAGTATGAATCCTGCTCCACTCGACAGGATTTCAATGCAAAGAAACAGATTCCTTGCATTGTGTCCATGCTTACCAAAGAATTTTACTTTCCTTGCTAAAAAAAAAAATAATTGCACTTTGCAATTTTTCACTTCAGGTTTTTATCTGTAATTTATACACTGTCAGTACGGAATACCACTTTTAATTCTGAATTACTGTTCACTGCCACATATGGCACAATGAACTATCTGAGAGTTGGTTATGTCCGTTATGAGAAGAAACCCATGGGATGGCTAAGTTAGAAATGCAAACCTGGTAGGTGAAACACAGGAAAATTTGAACACAATAAGAATTTGGAAAAATTATGAGAAGACTGAAGAGAAGTCACATCACTTACAAGGCCTACTTGGTGCTACATTTCACTTTGCAGAAGGAGCAGAGAAAAGCAACAGGTCTTGTAAATGTTTTGGTTTCATATCTTTACCAGTAGGAAGAAGATTCAGAATGGGATCTGTTTGCAATTATAGTAATGTGATGGTAGTGTCATTACACATTTCTTCTTAAAAAAAAAAAAAAAAAAAATCAAGTTTTTAAAACTTAGGTTATAAGGTAGCCTAATAGCCTAAACTTCTTGTATTACTTCAGATGTAAACTGTGAAAAACGGCTGTTTCATTTTTTTACATGTGCTTAGGAGGCATCTTTAGAAATAAGTTCATTTTTTGTCTTGATTATTTTATAATTTTTTATATGGAACATTAGATGAGGTAATTTTATCAACACAGTATCTGTTTCTAAGTAAATTTGTATGTTTAGCCTTGAAGCTGAGTAACTAAGGGACCAGTCTTCCCAAATGCCTTTCTTTTGCAGCTCCTAGGGAGAGCTTTAATACTCTTGGGGCACATTTGAGGCCACAAGATTCAATGCAAGATAAAATCTGCATTCTGAAAAGCCAGCTCTCCTCTTTCTGACCCTTAAATTGGAGTGGTTCTGCTTTCTGCAGATATTTCACATCTGATCTTTGTGGAAGCCGAAATATGGTGGTACCAGTGAAATTTCCTTGTCTGCTATCGATTGGGTTAATTACACATGTCTTTTAAAAGAATTTAGTATGTTAATGAATAGTAAATATAAGTCTCTTAGTTTTGAGTGGAATTGGCTTTTAGAAAATTGTAAAGCATATATGCTTTTGGTGATGGTTCAGCTTGTGACAGTCTTTTGATGAACAGAGGAAGGCATTGGGGCTTGCAAAACAAGACTTAATTCTTTGTATTGTGTAGCATAAATGATGTTAGCGAACTGATGTCTTCTTCCAGAGGCATTTGGATTTTTTTAATTAAATATTGTCACCTAAACTGTATAATGCTTTTCTATGTGTATTATTTGTTTAGGATCTGATCAATTACATCCCTTTTTCTCAAAAAAAAAAAGTCCCTTTTCTGCTTTAACACCGGAAGCTGCTATACCATAACATCTGTATATTCATTAATTGTACACCACTCTTCCAAAGTAGCTGTTCTGACTGCAGGAGTTCCTGCATCTCCAGGTCCTGAGGATATTACAGAATTCTACTCAACTTTTGCAAGCTGGAGCTGGGGTATACAGGCTTTGGGCTTGGCTCTGCTACAGTGTAGTGAAATGCTGGGTAAACCTCAACCCTGTCTTTTCCAGCTCTATAATATTAGAACCAAGACTTACCAGCAAATGCTTCAGAATCCCTTATGAGAAACAGAAGCATTGTGTTAATGGAGATTCTGTTGCATATTAGAACTATTATTTAATCCTGCCTTACAAGACTTAGCATGACTTAATTAGCAGTTATTACAATGATCTCACTTCGGTTTTTGGTTCTTTAAGGAAAAATATGATTCTATCACTTGTCTGGTATTTTTAAAATGGAAAGAATCTAAGTATGGGCTCAGCTACAACAGGTGTAGGCTATTGAGGAGGATGCAGATGTAGGGCTTGGGGAAAGAGTAATTTGGAAGACATGCTGTCCAACAAACTTCTGAAATATGAGGGAGGCAATTGTTGTCTTGTTGTGGTTTTTGTTCCTTTGTTTTCTGGAAGCTCTTCACTGGAATCTTCTTCTGGAGCAGGCATTCATACCAAATGTTGCAGTTCTTAAGCTGACCTTGGAAAACAAGTGCTTGTGTTTTCAACTAAACAGAGATATTCTCACAGCTACCTAGGTCATTGGTGTAAATAGTATCTGAAAAGGCTTTTAAGAAGGCTGACCTTAGTTTTTAGCTGATTTGAAAAGCCAACCAGAACCACAAACCTGCCATAAATCTGTGAGGAAACTAACAAAGATGACACAGAGGTGAAATGATATTTGTTTTCTCTAGAAAAACTGGGGAGGAAAAAATTCAACCAGGAAAACTGAAATATTCAGTGTTTTTTTTTTTTTTTGTTGTTTTTTTAATGCATTTGCTATGCAATGGAAGATCAAAGAGAATCAAGACCCAGGTTGAAACTGGATAGGCAATTTGTTATGCTTGGTCTATTATAGTAGGTCAAGAACTCTGTTCTGGCAAAGCAAATCCTTATATTCAGTGCAGTTACTTTGGCCTCTCCTGCATCAACCATTGGGAGTGCATATTTTCAAATCTACCTTTATTAAAAGAAAAAAAAATATGAAAATAGGTGAGTTAAACACTGATGCCAATAAGTCCTTCTAAAGAGTCTGCCCTTGTGCTACGCGTAGAACAGAACTCACACCCTTGATACTCAAAATGTCAGTTTCAGCTATGGCCATATATGTGTCTCTGTCTTGTAGGTGTCTGACAGCAGTGCTTTTGGAGCAGTACCAGGCACCTTAGGAACCTGGTAAGGCTGTCTTCTCAGTAGCTGCTGGCTCATTTGTAGAAGTGGTGTTTGGAGGGAGCCTCTGGAGGGCATTTCCAGCGTCCCACTCAAAGCAGCCCCATTGCCAGCGCTGCAGCACCCAGCAGCAGTTTCCTTTAGCCAAATCCTGAAAGCCTCCAAGGATGAAATGACCTTCCTGGGCAGTATCATGTTGTGTACCGTGCTGTATTACCCACCCAAGAAGAGCCCCCAGAGCGTTCCCAGCACCCATCCTGAGCCTCCAAGATGCAGCCTGTGGCCCTCTTGTGGCACTTCATCTGGATGCGCCCTGTAATCTTTTCTATGGCAGATGTATTTTTATATACAATTTGTATTTTCAAATGGAACGTTACCTGTTCTGGTTTTCTGCTTACAGAGTCACTTTTAGACATATTAACAATATAGGTAGTAAGAGAGAAATTACATCACAATAGGAAACTTTTCTCCTTATTTCCTGAAAGGAATTATGCTTGTTATGATGGGAAACTTCCTCTCAGTGGTGTATCTCCTCCTGTTAGTGAGGATAAGCAGCAGGGCAGTCACAGCAGAGTCTCTGTTTTTGTGAGATAAAGGGTTCAGGGATAACTACTCTTCACCACCACGGGGTGTCACCGTAGATAGAACAATAATCTCCCAAACTCCCATTAACAAACAACTCAAAAACAAAATAACAAAATTGAAACAGCCCTGAATGGAGCAACTCTTTCGCAGCTGTTAATGGCTTTGTAAGCCACAAATCTTAAAGATCTAATTTTGTATTGGGGCCTAGCATTTCTGATCAAAGCATGTTTGATTTCTTGCTACCACTGTGTTCTGTCATGATGTTGTTGGTCACATAGTTAAAGTGCCTCAAAAGAAAGATGCATAGTATTCATTTTCTAAAGTATTTTGTTTAACAGTTGGAGGCAAGGCTTGGAATTGAGCTCAGTAGGTCACCACTGCTGCACCAAAGCTGGGAAGACTCACTGGGACCAGTGATGGTGATATGTCTGCTGAACATGGTGAGTTTCATATGGACTCAGTCAGTGAAATTCAGTAGCATGCGGTGTGAGAAGACCAACCTAGATGATATAATCATGTCCTTCTGGACTCAAATTGTATATGGAAATGGGTCATCCTGTTCTGAGTTGTCTCCTTCCCTCTAAAGGAGGATGAAGTTGCTAGTTCTCCCTCACGTGCATAAAATGGTGATATTAGCTGGGTGGACTGAGAGGATCTGATGCAATGGTGGAACTGTGAATGAAGGGTACCAGTGTGGTAATTCATGCTCATTAAGAATGTACAGGTTCTATTTAGTTAACCATAACACCTTTAAGAAGAGCAGTGGAAACAACCAGCACTCTTCTGTACAAGAATGTAAGTAAAACTAAATGTTGACAGCTACCTTACAGAGAAATTTCTTTCTATAAGATCCTTTGTAACAGACACAGGCATTTCCTCTTTCTCTCCCTTTCAATTTCCGGTGCTAAAGTGAGAATGTTTTGCCTTCCCTTTTATCCCATTCAGCTGAAAGCAGCTTCCTGCAGTCCGCACCTCTTCTGCATGGCACCGTGCAAGAAAGCTGGCTAAAAGGAGATACCACCTTGCTTTATCAACAATTGGCTTGGTGGGGGTCTTGCTGGGGTTTAAGGTGTGCAGACCAGAACATGGGCTTCATCTGCTCAGCATGCCAGCGCAGGGGGCTGAACTGCCTTTGTCAGCACCTCACAGAGCCACACTGGTGTGAGCCAGGGGTGTGGAGAGTGGGCCACCAGGAGGGAGGTGACACATAGGAATGAGCATGTTCTGCGAGCCCCTGGGGATGGGAGGACCTGCAGCAGTGCTTGGGCCACTCCAAGTACTTTGAGCTGGATGTTGACCTTAGGAATGTAATCAGAGAGCTGATTATAAATAGTTGGTGCAGTTGTTGATGAGATTAAAATGCAGGCGGTTGGAGGCAGGGGTTACTCCCGTGTGTGACCAGGATGCTGTGTGCTCGTTTGTCTATGGCTGCATGTTGAGCCTGAAAAGGGAAGTGGCTGAAAAACGCTCAGAAAATGTTCCCAGGGAAAGAGAAGGAGGAAGTAGTGTGGCTTACAAAAGAGGGGTGTGGGACATGGGGGAAGGGGGCAGGGAGCAGAGAATTAATAAGGAGGGAGGACGGTCACTGCAAGTGATCAGGAAGCAAAACCCTCAAACCAGGAGAATGCCCTGGATAACAGCGGTAAAACCTCCAGGTAAACCACCAGTGCTGATCTGTGTTCAGCTGGTGGTGCGTGATGGAGCGGAGGGGAAAGGGTGGGGAAAAGAGCAGGGAAGGAAGTGCAAGAGGTGGGTAATGGAGGCAGAAATAGTATTTTATCAAAGTGAAGATTTTGCTAATAAAGGGAGATTGTCTGGCTTTTAGTTTGATGGGATAATTGTGTCTAGAGCAGACAGTGGCCCACCTGTCAGTAGGGCAGGGGATGGAGCTGAGTTTGTGTCTGTGGATGAGGAAATCCTGGAGTGAGGTGTGCCAAGACAAGAGAAGGAGAAATTAGAAAGCAGATAGCTGGAGAACTTAGTGGAAACTGATCATCTAATCCCAGCACCCACAGTGTAAGGGTGTAAGCAGTCACAGCTCGGTGCCACCATGCTGTAACGTGGAGAGAATCAGGCTGGGGAACAATCCATAACCTGGAGGGAACATTTCACCACCTCAAGTTCTGAGCAGGGGGAGAAATCAAACACTCTTTCCTGACACGAGGCACAGCGATAGAAGTATTAAAAATAATGCTTCTATGAACAGCGAAACTTCTGTAGTCGAACTTCCTGTGGCTTTGTGCTTCCTGTTTATGTTCCTTTCGTGCCACACGTGGTGAGGGGTGAGCCCCAAGTGCAGCCTGCCCCAGGTTCTGCATGCTCCTGCCCACAGGGCTGGAGACGAGCATGGAGCTGCTGAAGGCAGTGATGGGGCATTCCCTGTGCCTCCTTGCTTTGGGAATGCAGGCTGGTAACAGTCCCGGTGAGCCATCCATTTTGGGCATCCAGCACTGAGGTTACATGTACAAAATGTGGAGAGCCACATGTTTAGTTCACTCCTCGGCTTTCCTCTGGACTTCAACTGCATCCTCATCACTGTCACTTGAAAGATAACGTGGCTGCAGAGGAGTTCACCATTTCCCTCCTTTCTAAGATGGAGGATTGCTTGTTTGGCCACCATACAAAGCACTGACTGCAGGCCCATGCTAATACAGCTGCACCCATTTCCAGGCCACTTTTGGAGCATTAAGGACATGCTTTTGGAGCAGCTTGGAGAGGTGGTGATGTGATGCTGAAAACGATGGAGCTAAACATGGCATGGCTTTGAGCAGTCCTGGATTCCTGAGGGTGAGGGGTGCTGGCGCAGCTGATGGAACACCAGGCTAAACCCACAGAGCGCTGCAGGCAGGGAGAGGTGAGGCAGAGTGTCACAAGCATCTCAAATACCTGACTGGAGAGAGGGGAAGCCTGCAGGAACCTCACCCACAGAGCTAATAGCTTTGTGTAAATGTTATTTGCCAGAATTCCACTAAGTATTTACAGCTATTTTATGTGCACTAAATGTTCGCTCGCCAAGGAATGATGGATTACCCCTGCTTTGAAGCTGATTGAGAACTATTACCATTACCACCTTATCAGGCTGTTACTTATTAGCCCAAGGTACAAGGCTATAATATTTTCAAGCAAGAAAACTCCTGATTCAACAGCCAAATTCACTCCAAAAATGAAACGATGGAGTGAGAGCAAAAGAAACGCGAGGAAATTATATGTAATTACCATTTCTCCAGCTCCTTTATACAGGCAGCAGGTGACTCAGCGTTCCCATAAAACTACCTCCATGGGAAAGGAGGAGCTCTTCTTCCACCTGGCAGCTGCCTGCCTTTGCTGCAGCTATCTGTCTGCTGAACCTTCCCTTGGGGCGGCTGCTGCTACTTAGCAGCTCAATAGCATGCATACCTGCGGAGTGCTCCTTTCATTAAAAGGAGGATTTGCCACCCCGCATGGAATGCTTTAAAGCAAGGTGCAAGTATGCAAATAATTACCACGAGCATCTGAGCTTTATTTATTTATTTCTGATTCCTCCCCCTGACTTAAAGCATTAGTGATGTCTAGCTGGGCTCCTGGGGCCAGCTGTGACCTACAGAGCCAAGAAAGCGAGCCTGTCCTGCTGCCTCCTAGCTCTGGATGACCTTCTTGTTGTTGCTTTTTACTTCTTGGAGGTACTGCAAACACAAAGGCAAACATAACGCTCTACTGGAGAACCACTGCATAGAGCAGTGTTACCTCTCACAGTGCTGCACAAGAGTGCAGGTCCCTCCAACGGCAGGACACATTCGTGTCAGGCACTGCGACACTGAACGTGACAATTGCTATCTCAGGGGACTTGCCATCCACACAGATATAAAGACAAAGAGTGAAACAAGAGCATTGAGGAAATCCAATGGTGGCAGTTGGGGCTGGGGAGGGGGCTGAATTCCCTGCACAGAGGCTGGTGCTGAGGCTGTCTGAGCAATATCCCCAGGTTGTTTTTCAGTTTGGATGTTCAGCTCTGCCTGTTTAAAACTCCCCTGCTTTGCAAAGTTTGTTTAATCTGTCGGCCTCTCTCTGATCTGTACGTGGCAAGTCAGCAGGTAAGGAGCATTGTGAGCCTTCTGTACATCACTGATTAAATACAGCATTCAAAATAAAGCTGCTACTCATATTTGCTATTAATAGCCAATAGGTTTTCTCTTCCCTCCCTCCCCTCCCTTGACCTGTTTCTGTTACAAATACAGAGCAACCCTGCTGGGGGTTGATACATGAGGATTCAGTACCTCCAGCTGCTTTGCTGCAATGCTTCCCCACGAGCCCAACCCAGCGGGACCCCAGCAGGCGGCCAATTCTGGGAACAGAGGACTGCAAGTCGATGCTGCCACTGCTGGTTATCAGCCCAGCACTGGCACCCTGCCTCGAGAGCCTCTCCTGGGCTGTGTTGGCTGAGCAAACTCGAGAGAGGGGCAACGGTCAGAGCGACAGAAATGACTCGCTGAGGGAGAAGTGCAGCAAGATGGGCTCCAGGAGAGATGAGTCACTGCCGAGCTGCGCTCCAGAAACAGCTCACAGAGCCAGCTACTGCTGTTCAGAAGATGAACTTACTGGACTCTGCAGGCTGGCAACAGAGGTGCAGTAGATGAGCTTGACTTCAGCTATTTCAGCACACGCAGAAGGTGGATCCGTTTGTGCCTAGGAAGAATGGGAAGCTGGGTGTGCTGAAGATGTCCTGAAGCTCTGGAGGTCAGCCTGGGCAGCTCCAAAGCAGGCAGCACTCCTTATACAGCACTTACTAGTCTGTTAATCATTAAACACTGATTAGAAAAGCCAAAACAGCCAAAGCCTCAAAGGTGGTTCTGACTTTGTGGCCTTCCAGTACTTGAAGGGAGCTTACAAGCAGGAGGGGGAGTGACTTTGTACATATTCTGATAGCGATAGGGCAAGGGCAAGGCTTTAAATTACAAGAGGGAAGACTGAGGCTAGACATTAGGAGGAAATTCTTTATTCAGAGGGCAGTGAGGCTTATGCAGTGCAGCCAGACCTTTGGATGCCCCATCCCTGGAGATGCCCAAGGTTGGATGGGCCCTGGGCAGCCTGAGCTGTTGGGGGGCACCCAGCCCGTGGCAGGGATTGAGAGGGGCTTTAAGGTCCCTTCTAGCCCAAGCCATTCTGTGATTCTATGTTTCTATGTCTTGGAAATGGCTCTGTATCTTGCAGCGACCACTTTTACTTAAGGTAGCAGAGCCTAAAATTAAACATTTATATTTTGCTTCTTTACAGTTGGCTTCTTTTTTTCCAGGATTGCATTCAGCCATCACCCAGTCTGTGCTGCAGGGTAAGACAGGGTTCGTGCCAAATAGGAATGTCTCAGGCTGTCTGTGCCTAGCCCCACAGATGTGTGGGCACAGAGCACAGCCTGGTTTGCCATCAGGAGGAAGCCTGAGCCAGAAATGCTTTGAGACAACTTCAAAATCTTCTCTCTGTACTGTTGGGGTAGGAGCTGGTGGGGTGACAGCCTGTGCTGATGCTCTGCTGCCCAGTAGAGGTGAGCAGGAATATGGAGGCAATGATGAGAGGTGGGGCATTGGTTAGTCCTTGTTGGCACATCTACCCAGATGATGCCCTGGGAGGGTGCCACAGCTGGTTTGCTCCCCATGCCCCTCTGCTCACCACCCCTGGCATGGAGCTTCCTACTGGGAGAGCCCCCTGAGAGGCCTGGGCCCCTGCACTGGGTGTCCCTGCCTGAGCAGGATTGGGGCAGAGGGGCCAGAGGGCCCTGCCCACCTCAGCCATGCTGTGCTTCTGTCATTCCTGCTGTGGGTTATTATTCTGCCCCTGGGTTCTCTCTGAGCGAATCCCCTAGCAGCTGGGTAAAGCAGCAGCTTAATTAATGAGGGCACCTACCTTTACAGAAAGTGTGAGAGGCTTTGTGCTGCAAAAGAAAAGCTTTATTCTCACATTGGTGGGTTTTTTTGTTTTGTTTTGTTTTGTTTTGTTTTTTTGGCTCATTTTTTTGGCACATTTTGCAAACTGCACTCACTGCTGGCTGGAGAGGACTTTGTTTACAGTGTTGATTAAAAATATCTTGCTCAGAGCACTTTCTTTAGATAATTCAGACATTCCTGCTCTGAAGTCACCCTGAAACATCCTTTCACAATACTAAAATAGCAACAAGATTTTTTTCCATCCTGGAATGGTTTTATGTCATTATTACCAACAACAACAAAGCAGCGCTCCTACCATCTACATTCTTAGCAATCAGATCAGCACAGCTGAAATAACACCAGAGCTGAGGAGCACTCTGTAACAGAGACACCCTTTTCAGGCTCTCAGGGGCAGAGCTGCTGGCCAGTGGCACCCAGCTGAGAGCAGAAGTCTCACACGGGTGAGTTTGCACTGAAATGCCTTAATAAACCACTCTGAATGCTGTGAATGCCATCGGGGTGGTGCTGCTGGCATGTGGTACTGAGCAGTTCCCTAAATATTATTGAACTTCAAAAATAAGCTGGATGGCTTATTTACCCTCCAGAACTTCATGGATTCCCATTTTCAAGGATTTTTTTTCCTTCTCGTAGAAATCAAGGCCAGGCCAGAACAGTTAATCTTCTGCGAATGGCGAGCAGGGTGCTAATGGAATCAACTGATTCCCTGTGGAAGATGATGAATAGCGCAAGCTGCAAACTTTGGCAATTCTAGAGAGAAAACACTCTGAATATTTGACGCTCTGTGGTTAAATCTTCTGATTTGAATGTTGCCAGGTCTGAAACAGCAAAGTCAGGAAAGCGAGAGCTCTGCTTTTGGGTAGAATGAAGTCATCGCTGGAAGCTCTGTGTCAAGAAGCACTCCCATTACCTTTCAACATTGTGAAAGTATCACAGCAGAAGATTTAACTTCTAGTACATCCTGTGAACTTCTCATTGCAGAAGACATGGAGAGGAATGTCTTTGTTAATGCCTTTGAGTGAGCCCCATGGAGATCAGAGGAAGGCAGCGGGAACAAATGGAAAGAGAGAGCTGAAAATTCTACTGGTTATTGTTCCTCCAGGAAGGCAACTGTGTTTTCTGTGACCAAAAGCCATGAGTGTCGTTCACAGCCTGCCCACTGTGTGAATACGTTGTCCTCTAAATGTGAGATTAAATTAGTGTGATTGTAAGCATTCTTCCCGTGGCATCTGCTGATACATCAACTATGGACTTTCATAGCTCACTCATTCAGCAAACAAATTAAGAGTGTGCACTGAAAATGCTAGCAGCCATAGAGCACTGCAAAACCAGCCTGGCCGGCCTTTCCATCTGCAGAGTGAGCTGTCCGAGCAGCGCTGGGCGGACTGAGGGCATTCTTGGTTGGGCCCTTTGCAACACCTACAACTAAGTGCTTGAAGCAAAACACGTTAAGAAAACACATTCAGCTGAGATGGAGATGCAAAGATCTATGGATAGTGTTGCAGCCACAAAAGAGCTTCCAGCCTTTAGAAATCTCTTGCTTAGGGGGCAGCTTGATGCAGAGTCTTTACATTTAATAGCACCTTGTGTTTTTTCCTTCTGTGAGTATGCTGGGGTGCTTTTCGATGCCCTGTGACCTCTTAGAGCCTTAAAGCAGGAAATAGCACTGCAGAGAGCCTCCTCCTCCTATCCGCTTTTAACCCGCCACCTGCTAGTTTCGTTTGATGCTCTCTAGTTCTTACATTAGAAAAGAAAAGGAGCAGTCTGTCCCTGCTCCTCTCCACTACCATCTCTACAGCCTAAAAGACCCCAAACTGCACAGTCACTTAGGTACCAAAGGCGCTCTATGTTTTCAGTTGTCTTTGCTGCTGCTTTGAGAGGCGGAGGGGCTCCCGGTTGTGCCCTGTTCTGTAGCTCCCCACCAGCTTTGTGACACTTGCAGAGCACCCAGGTGACCCTCCCCAGTGTGATGATGACTGAGCAGCAGCCGGGTGGATTCTCACATTGGTCACACCTGGTGTAGAACTGCCTCCATCCAGCCTGGGGTCAGCACTGCTGGCTGTGTGCCACCAGTTTCCTATGTGGACCTCAAGTCTATAAAAATTCAACCTGAGTTTCCAGTTAACTGGTTTGGCTTTGTGGATACAGCTTGCTCACATGACCATGTGTGCAAGAATGTATAGGGAATGTATAGACACAAATGTATGCACAATAGGTGTGGATGCCACTCTCCGTATTTATGTACGACCTTTTGCAATTAGTAGTTCCTTATCTCCCACCGTGCTCAAGGCCTTTCCCTCGTCAATCTCTGGACAAAGCCGGGATGATGCACACAGCCTCCCCTCGGACCTTTGCAGCACGCAGCAGGGCGAGCTCAATTCCGCGAGCCGCCTTCAGTCTCCACAGAGCAAAGGCGGTTCGCAGAACCTGCCTCAAACCAAGAGCTGAAGCGACGCCGGCTTCTGAGCACCCGGCCCGGGACTGCCCCCGCTGCGGCAAAGGGAAGCGCGGGGGCCAACACTCCTCCCTGGGCGGAGGGGCCGTGGAGCGGCGCCCTGCGCGGGAGCGGAGCCATTCGGAGGCACGCACGGCTCTCCCCGCACGGCGGCCGGCCCGCGGCTCCGAACGCCCCGAGGCGAGCGGCGGCCGCCCGTAGGCGCGCGGA